AGGTGCAACCTGTTAGTTAACATGAACTAAATAATGGATTTAACGAAATTGCTAAATGCCCCTCCCAAGCCGAAGAGTAGCGAAATTCCTTCTTTTTCCCTAACAGGTTCCTTTAGCCTTGTACTTGGTCGTTGAAGGAAGAGGGGTAATATTTGGTAGATGGAAGTCGTGTCTGGGCTCCACAGAAAATTTCCCCAGCTGCAAGCGGAATTTTTCGGTTGTTGACTTTTTGCGGTTTTTCCCGTTTTCCCTCTTTATGTGAGTTATCTACTCCCCTCTTCTTGGCAGCCCCGTCAAAGTCCTAAATAACGTCCGTTCGAGGCCAGAATTAGCTGTTGTTCAGAGGAGGCCCGACCTTCTCTCCCTGGAAATTTTTTGGGGAAAGTCGGAAAAACCGGTGGAAGTTGGAAAAGCTTGAGAGGATGAGAGAGGGAAGCAAGACGGGGGAAGGGAGGTCGCACCTGAAAGAAGGAACTGAGGTGGCGTCTGACACCGCCATCTCTCCCATTTCAATGCTCTACCCGCTAGCAGCTCTTCGCAAGCGAATAACCGCGATATAGTAACCGTATACATACTATTTTCTCGAAACTCAGTGAGCTTTTCTTTCTCCGTCGCTTTGGAGGTTCCTGCACTTCCTTTGATATGAAGTCGCCAAGGCTGAACCTGAAACAGTGAAGTTCTCCAAAAAAAACTTTCGAGCGACAGCTCTCGAAATCAGCAATGCAACTGATATCGCCGCAATCATTCGGGGCGGACAAGGAGGCATGGAATGTGCCGGCGCGGCGGTCTTTTGACCACTGGTTGTTTCCATCATGAGTTGGTCACCTACCGAACACTGCTGCGCGGAAGGTGGCTCATTGCGCCTCTCCTGATACCGTCCTCACTGACTGCGACGATATCAGCTACACAAAGCTGCTAGTTCTTCTCACTTCTTGTCTCGCCTTGGTTTGCACCCGTCGTCTTCACTATCTACAGTATCCTCCGATTCGCTGTGCTGTGCCCTAGTTCTCTAAGGTGATCACGCCTTACATGACCACGGTTTCTGTTCTTGTACACGTCATCATAAGAAAGTGTTTCTGGAAAAGGTGAGAACCAAATAAAGGTAAAAAGAGTTCTCAGAAATACAAGTGAATATACCCCAATTCGCTGCGGATAAAGGGGCGTGTCAGGCAGTATGAGTGTGCTACAGCGCCAAAGCGGTTCTCTGCCATATGTGGAGGCGGGTATGAGAGAATAATTGGTAGAAAACAGGTGCTACGAACGATAAGATACAGTCTTGCTACTTGCTCGCTTCAACAACCCGTTGTCAAGGGGGAGGGAGTCGTATTGCCCTTCTTACCTTCTGAGAGAGGTTGCTGGTGGTCTGTGGTTTCTCCTGGTTCCATGTGTACTATGCATATACCTCCCATCCCTCCCCCCCTGAAGCTCGATGTGAGGAGGATTTCGTGGCCAGGCCGAGTGGGGGTCATAGGGACTCGACCAAAATGTGGGGTCATAGGGACTCGACCAAAATCCCCAACTAATGATGAGGCCTGGTGATAGCATCTGGTGCCCCACTAAGCCGAAACTGCGCCGTATGCTTTCATTCTTTTGCATACATTTTTCACAATTTCTTTGCTATTTCTCAGCCGGCAACTGAATCGGTGAGCTTATGAAACTGAAAGTGAAAATTTTAAAACACCAACTTCCCCGTATGTCTTGACCATAGTAATAAGGTTTTTCGTGCATGATAGTGTAGCGGATTTGAGCGTTCCTGGGAACGTTTTCTTTAACGTCTGCGTTCTCCTCCTGCTCCTTTGCAGTTCCACGACGTGTGCGGCGGCTTCGGCGCTGTTTCTCTTTTGGCACTGATGTCAAACACGAAAGCTAAAAATGTCTGCTTTGATCATGTTGTTTGAAATTAGAGGAATAATCAAAACAACGTTTAGAGAAGTTTACAGTTTCACCAAATCGGCATGGGAACTTGTTCCGCTTCATAGTTCTTTATAATGGTTTACAAGTCTTACCAAGGTCAGAAAAGCGCAGAAAATAGCGAACCACTAAAATGCCCCACCACCCCCTCCAAGAAGGCCCAAAATAGGTTCAGAAATGATCAGAATATGAGTTCTTTTGATCAGAATATGAATTTTTAAGATTTATGAGTTCACATACAGTTGATATCGCCACAATCAGTACGGCCGTGTCAGGGGGGGGGGCTTGCAATGAGCCCACCCAATGGGTTTTCTACCCTTGGTTGTTCTTTTTCTAAACCAATCACTATTAGTAGGAAACGCAGGCGAGGTGGTTTCATTACGCGCCTCCTGATAGCGCCCTGATCAAAGGCTGTAATCAACTGTGAAAGGCAAAAACCTCACGATGAGATCACCAAGTACTGCCTTCCTCTGAAGTTCTTTTAATCATCGCCCCAATTAACAAGACCGGACGGAAACCCTGGGCTCTGCACTTTCCTAATTTCTTAGAGAAAAATGCAGGCATGTAAAAATGTTGTGCTTCTAGGATGGATCACGGTCGAGGTGTAAGAGGATGAGCATGAAGTGTATTAGATTATCTACATATTTATGTTTACTTTTCGTCGTTGCAATCACTCGGGGCGGGGTCAGAAGGGGTGCAGTCGTCCCCGGCTGCTTTTTCTACCAGGGTGATCGGTTAATGATCGATTCGCAGAGAAAACAACCGGTGGTAGGGCCTGCGGGTGGCCTCATTTTACCGCCTCGTGACACCGCTCCGGTTAATTGCGACGATATCAGCTGCTATGGAAGAACGGGTACTCACCGATGTGCCTTGTCCTCCTGCAGTCTTGGAGATCATCTCACCATTTCCGTCAAGTTCATGAACAGCAACGACAGCTCTGTACTTGTAGTAGTTATCTGAATAAGTATGAGCTTAAGACAGCAAGTATAAAGAGGAAGAAGAAGTTCTGGCGCTGTTCGGCTTTGGAGGAGTGTTTTGCAATTTTGCCAGTTTCTTTTACTAGTTTCTGTGAAATTAGGCATCATATCTTGGTGAGACCTGTAGTCAATGGGAAGATACGAATACGTCAAAGGTTCCATATTAAGTGATTCAGGCAAGAAGAATTTAGAGCATGCGTGATAATTCTTCGGTTTTAGCAGACGTTCTGAGGGATTACATGAACACCAAGCCGTACTGCGCCAGAATTTGTCTCAAGAGGGTACCCTAACAGGTCGATCCGGCCTTTTGCAATGAGATGTCTATATATGGACTTGACCCGCTGAATTCAAATATGAAGATCTCATGGTTTAAGAGCACATGTGGTATTCTTCTACGAAATGATGGAAGCGAAAAAAGGTCTCACACTGATTACAGCGAATAAAATACTCTCCACACACGGTACAGTTATAGCTCTCAACAAGTCCAGGGGGAAAGCAGTACTAAAGAGGTGTTTCGAATGCACAAGGATGTGCTTCGAAGTATCCAGCCCCAGCCGAGTACCAAGAATAGGATAAGAAGTTTTCAAGTCCGGATGAGCAAAACTGGAAATAGTCTAGAGGTAAAGACGGGAAAGTAAGCCCCACTGGTGTATCGAACATCGAATGATCGGGACATCGAATAACATCTAAAGAAAAAATTTCAGCGAAAATTTTTTTTGGGATGGGAATAGTTCAATGGTGCCAACCGATATCCTCACGATAAAACTTCTCAAAAGGAACCAGAAACAGCGAATCTGCTTGCTCCTGATGTCAAATAATCAAAGAACTAGGTAACCTAGCTAACAGGGGTGTATGCTATACTCCCCCTCGAGGGGAGATATCCCCTTGTGAACCTCCATTCTCTGCCGTTATCTCTACTGATGCCCCTCGTCTCTCTGGCTCTCACCGCTCTGCATTCATACTCCTTTGGCGCAGTCTCTTGTGCATAGTGCAGCGCAGAGTATAATCGATATGTTCCCTTCTCCCTTAGCGAATGTCGTTGGGGGAGATTCCGCGAGAGTGGGGGAGACATAGATGCAGAGGGGCAGAAGCAGAGAGGCGAGGCGCATTGCTAGAGATAACGGCAGAGAGCGGCGATTAACTAGAGGAAATCTCATCTTCAAGATGAAGTATAGCATACTGCCCCAGAAGTGTTTTGGGGACTCACATGAAGTGTTTTACACAAAAGCAAAATTTTTCAAGAGTCAAGGATTCCAACATGTCACCTCATCTCTCTGAAACAACGAGTGCAGAGAATGAATGGTCCCCAACTCCCTTCAAAGAATCGTTCCGCAAATCCCGACGGCAAATCTCACTGCAAATGGCCGGATCGACCTGTTGAGGTCCCCTTGTCAGATAACTGCTCTGAATCAGCGCCAAGTCCTACTTTGCATCGAGAAGGAAGTGAAGTTGAAAGTTTTCCTCACAAAGTATCAAACTGTACCTGGGAACGGTGTTTTCTCTTCAACGACTTGCACGGAAACTTCGCCTGTCTCGATACCATTGAGGAGATTTTCCGGATTAGCCTAAAGGGACATTAATCATAGTAGTTGCGCTCAACTGGCCCTCGAACAAGTCACCTCTGCCCAGCGATTCCTCTTCTCCATAGAGTAGCAAACACCGGGAACGAAGGTGTCGGCACACTTGGCAAGCAAACGATCTTTGCGTCTCTAAAAGTTCAAGCTTTACGAAGGTCAACTTTAGTCACCTACTGTACAGTATCGCGATGGCATCGATGTCAGTATGGCCTCCGCAAAAATTTTCTCTTCCAGTGGCTCCCACTACTCGTAATACCTGCCGTATTACTTATTTCTTCGCACTCTCTACCGATTGTTCTGCAAGTTTACCAAGATTTTCCTCAAGAAACGCCGCCCATCGGGTAGGGTGGAGGTGTTGCATAGCCTGCCTGGAATCGAACAATTTCCCCTTGATACACATCCTTCCCCCCCCCCCCCCTTAGCAGCCAAGCACGATCCTACTTCAATGAGATTCCGCCAACGATGCTGCACCCTGCTGCTCTTATACCATAACTAAAATGTCCATGACCATCTCATGAAGAAAGTATTACCTTGCCAAGAACGTTGTCTGGATCTTCCACAGTTTTCCTGATGGCGGAGGGAACAGCTCCGGGTGCTACTGTCGAGCCCAGCGGTTTTCGTTTTGTCCGCTTCCCATCTCCGCTGCCTGGTTTCGTCCACCATAGTGGGTGGCTGCTGAGACTAAAGAGACAGTTGATAAGACAGTTGATGAGATTGGTTTCTTGGTTTCAAATGCTGCGAACCGAATAATCTCGCAGCTGTCAATTTTCAATGGCTTTCCTGAAAGAATAAAAGGTTTGAAGCCTTAACATGGGGGCGTTTCTACCAGGAAAGGCACTGTCTATCTTTGTCAGGGCCATTTTTCGAAAGAATTTGTACGCGAAGTTAGATTCAGGTAGGCTAGAATTCCTTGTTGGGGGGTCGTATTTCTGGCTAGGAGTTACGTGGTTCACTTCATGAGTTTTATGAATTTTCTGTGTTATGTACGCCCGTACGATGTACGTCGCATGCCTACTACATACCCCCGCTCGACAACTTTTTCGCCGAGTATAAACCACAACCACAGTCAGCCATGTCAGCCATCGTACGAGCATGGGGGGGGTCGTACCAGCCCCTGAAAAAAGGGGGGGTCGTAAAAGCTCGACCAAAATCCCCATCGAATGCTGTGCCCTGTCACCAAAGTCAATTTCTCGGGAGCGATTGGTAAGGGGGAAAGTCCCCATTTAAAGGTCGCTTTGGATAGAAAGGACTCTGTCCTTGGGAAGCTCGGTAAGCGGATTCTGGGGAAGCGAAATTTGCTAAGTTGTCTGAAGGGGTAGTTATGTCATCATCGGAAAGGAACTCATAGCAGCGGAACTTTAGCCTACCTGAATCTAACTTCGCGTACAAATTCTTTCGAAAAATGGCCCTGACAAAGATAGCCCTGTTTGGTGAAGGGATCGGGGGATAAACTCCTCTGATAAATAACCATCAGAAATGGCAGTTTTGCCTCGGCGCCAGCGGGGAAAGGAGATGGAGAACGGAGGAGGATGTTGCTGACGCCAGCTCGAGAACAAGCGGAGGTGCACATACGTTCGTTGGCGCTGATGTACTCGGAGGGAGGGGGGATGTGGACCACGTCGCCTCGCCCCTGTACCACTTCTCAAAAGGACAGGCCTAAACCCTGACTACTGTAATTGACGAAAGACAGTCACGCAAAGAAGTCATAGTCTTCATCAGGCCTAAGCCTTCATTACAGGAAGGGTGATAGAGGGCCGCCGAGTGTCCCTTTCACTGCCCCCTCCCCACCGAACCATGTCGGCACCGTTTGTCACATTGAAAAAGTTTTTGCGATCACTGATAGATTACTCGTGGGCGATACAAACAAAATGCCTGCGAAATCCAAAACATGAAAAGCAAGACAAACTAAGCTTACGAATAAAGATCTTCATCATCACTGAAGAATGGGTCATATATGGAATAGTAAGAATCATTTTCCCAGCAGACAGACGAACCCATGGCGAACGTCAAGCAGGTACTTGAGAGGGTTGACTAGGCCCGCCTCTGACACCGTTTTATATCGGGGCTGTCAGGACGCATTGCACAATAACGTGACATCATTGCGAAATGTAGGTAGTTTCCAGGGAGTTCCCCTATCGGTTGCTAAGCGCTGCAAAATCAAGTGGGTTATGCAATGACACAGATGCTTTAGGTTTCCTAGCATACATTTTTGGG